TAAAATTCCTCAAAATCAAAGGATGGCCAAAACTTTCTGAAACTTGGAAAACTTAAAATCATAAAAGTTGCCTACAAGTGTGCTAAGTTTCATCCTGGTAGCCATAAAAATGACAGTAAAACAAACTTTCCCCATTATTGAAACGGAACAACTCGATTATGAAACAATTATGAAGCTTTGGTGATTCAAATTACTAAGTAAAATGGGACACCTTCAAATCTTTACAAAATAAAGCAGGGGCATCCGAATCTATGAAACAAATTACAAATCAGATTTCCACCACTTGGCACACCTCTTATAACTATCCACAGGCATCCCAATAGAAAATGAAGGCTGTCCTGCTAGAGACATTTGTTGCACTGCACAGCACAGCTGGTAGGATTAGTCCACTTTTCCACCTGAAGTATTGACAGCTTATGAGGCGGTGAATGGAGTATTCTATTTTGTGATGTTAACCAGTTTGGTCCATGTTCTGCCCTCCAGCAGAATGGAGAAGCCATAGCCTAAGCTAGGAATTGATTCATGTGAACAGGTTTCCACCAAGGAAAAACCTAGGGATGTTTTTCCTTCCTCTTCAGAGAAAAGGATAAAAAAGGGTAATGACAAGGGTGAGGGAAAAAAGCTTGGGAAAAAATCTAGGTGGAAAGAAACTGGTCAAATTGGATTGCTGTTTTTGTTTTGTTTTGTCTTGTTTGTTTTTGTTTTACTTATATGGAGTTTTTGCAAGAACAGGAATGTGAGAGAACGCTTCTTCTTACAAAATGTTTTGACATCATTTACCAAATCCAGTCAGAATATTTTGGCATGCTTTGGTTGTAATATGATCAGGCTTTCAGATTAAGAGCAGCCTTTGACCCTCCTCTTCATTGAGAAGAGAACATGCCTGATTTATGGTTCCAGTTCATGATCCTGGCCTGGGGTAGTCAGAGAGAGAGAGAGAGAGAGAGAGAGAGAGAGCGCAAGAGAGCAGATATAGAACATTTACTTCTTAAGCCCATTTTTAATATTTTCTCATGTGCCAGCATGCAGCAGATAGTTCAACCCTGCCTACTTCATTTGGAATTTAGTTGTAGATGAAACTGTGGTGGGTAAACATGTGCCTTTAGACATGCATGTGCCATCTATGTGGGGCCCCAGCTCTTTTCTAATCTTATTTTGAAGCTTTCTTGATTTATTTTTGAAAGGTTGCTGTTTTCTGTGCAAAACACCCACCTGAGAATTTTAAGAAGAATAAGTCCTTCTCAGTTTACAGTTCTTTTAATCAGGGTTTTTCAACACTCAAATAACATGGTCTGAACCATTTTTCTAGACATTTTTAATGCCCTAAAAGTATGAAGGTAAAAAACAGCAAGAGCAACTATGGTCTTTCATCTAACATGCCCAGTCATTTCTCTCTCTTGGGAAACAGACTGTATGAGCCATGCAACTCTGATAGCCATACAGATTGTCCTTGTGGCTACTCCTAGTATGTTTTCTCAGATGTGGTGGAGAATGCTGTCTCACTAGCTTCTGTAGATGGAATGAAGAGAGAAATCATTTGTTCTTTGCCTTAGGCAGCCTTATGCCTTAAACTAGCCCAGGAGAAAAATATATGATTTTGATATGTTGTATTTTCCGGTCAAGTTAGCCTGTCAAAATGAAACACATTTCTCAGCACTTTAAATTGTGTTAACTTATAATTTTAAATACATTGAAATAGTATTTTTCTGATGTCAAAGTCACCCATTTTTATTTAAGTTTTCATTTGTATTAATATCAATTTACTGTTTCAACATTCTTTTAACTCTTTGTATCCATTATATGCCAAAGGTTATTCTGAACCCTCTTTTGAATATTGGTTTCAATTTTAATGCTTAAAATACACAGTAAAATTTTATTCAATTATACATTGATCTGGTGAATGACTGAATAGATATGCCATTAAAGAACCCAAATTGCCGCACTGTAAGTGATTAACCATACTTAGCTGCATGCATAAGAAATTGAGTCATTGCTCCTTATAGGCCTCAGGGCTGCCATATTTTCTTCAGGATTCCAAATCTATCTAATTGACTTATGCAAAACATCAGAGAAGCAAGTGGCTTAAGCAGTCATGCTAAATTGTTCAACCACTGACTCTTATATAAAAATCACTCTACAATGCAAAATAAAGAGCAAAGTTAATATACTCATAATTGGAGTGAGACCAGATTAAAAGCAGACCCATTAAAATCAGTTAAGTGATTGTGAGAAAATTAAACCCCATTGATTTCAATAGATCTGCTCTGAAGAAAAAAAATCCAACCTTTAATATTTAAGACTTTGCATTTAAAATAGTAAAACTATTGCTAAGAAGTAAGAGAATTTCAGGGACAAAAACAAAAAGAAGGAAATACACAATCTCCCCATAATAAAGTTCCCAAGAAATCAAAGAAGCAAATCTATGAAATATCTTGCAAATCATTGTCAAACCTTCCTGATTTTCCACTACAAGTCATACAAGGTAACAGCAAATAGATTTTTTATCATATTTATGTCTAATTCAATGTGATATTTCAAAATATAAGCTAAATATACTATGATTAAGGTGACTGAAATGTCTACAGTGTAATATAAAAGAAGAACTAATACACTAGTCAATAAAAATGATGTCAGCAATCTAATATTTGCTAGATACTTTGCTAGCAGATTAAGTTCAAGAAAATTCCCTTTTTATTCCTTGGCAACTGTGGGTATATGTTAGCAAGACAGACATCAAATACTCTGGCAATTAGTTATTTGGATTCTTGAAAGGATATGTTCCCAGTTTCAACTTCAAAATTATTGAAAGTTTCCTGGCTCCAAAGTAGGAATGAGACCATTGTGAGAGTATTTTTTGTCTTACTTAGTTCATCAAACTGGTGTACTCAGGACTCCTGCTAGACAGATAACCTCGTATCATTTTAGTCCCCAGATGTTATTTGACAACTCAGGTTGAAATATATCTGTACAATGCAAAAGTTCACTCACCATTTGGCTGAACAGGAAAGTCTGAATATGCAAATCCTTTATTCTGGGATGCTTTGAGATACACACTAAAGACTTGTAATCCAGTGTAACCAACACAGTTAAAAGTAACATTTAACTGCCAAACCAAAGTGTAATACCATCACACCTCCACTAAGCACAGTATAGGGTGGGTAGAAAGGACAAAGAATATAATAGAATAATAGAGTATAAAAGATCACAAGGACCATCCATTTTAACCTCCTGCCACACAGAAATATACAATGAAAGTACATGACAGATGGCCATCCAGCTTCTATTTAAAAATCTTGAGAAGAAGACTCCACCACACTCCAAAGCAGCATATTCTACTATTGGACAGCTCCTGCTATTAGGAATCATTCTTCCTAATGTTTACTCTGAATCTTTTCCCCCCCTGAATCAGTTTCTTCATGTCCTAGTCTTTGGAGTATCAGGAAAAAAAACTGGCTCCATCTTCAATGTGACATTTTTCGAAATATGCAAACATGGTTATCACATCACCTCTAAATCTTCTCTTCTCCAGATTAAAGACATCAACCCTCCTATGCTCCATCATATAAGGCATGCTTCCTCAGCCAACAGGATTTGAACCTAAAATTTCCTACTCCACTCCAACCAAAGGAATGAGTGAACCAGTCTGGTACAGAATGAGTTGCCCTCTAAACTCATCTATGAGGCGAAAACCTGACTGAGGCGAAAACTCATTCCATTACTGTCTTCCTTCATTTCCACTAAAAAGGTAGGAAGGATAAAAATGACATCATTAATAAAGTTTAATTAGAGGTGAAAACCAGTGTCTCTCTTACTGTTGCTAGACTATAAATCTCATCATCCCAGGCCATTTCCCAACCTAGTGTCAGCTGATGACAGGAGGAATCCTACAACAGGTTGTCTCATTGTGATTTAATATATCATTTGTATGTTTCTTTGCTTTCTTTGCTTTCTAATTTTGCAAAGATATTAAAAGAAATTGAGGGAAATATATATAAATAAATGCATTTCAAAATGCTATGTAAGAAAAGTATTTCCAAGGGTAATAAAACAATTCCTAACTGAACAAAGAGAGAGTTCCATCCAATATCCACTTTACCTTCTGTTCAATTCTTTTTGATAAATTCAGGAAAGCTCCTATATCAATCACATATATATAGAGAGAGAGAGACAATTGATAAAATATATAGCAAAAATATATTTATTACATGAGAAATGCGAACAGTGCTTGTCAGTAAAAAGACATACCCAAATGCTTTCTTCCTGGCGATATTGCTTCCAGTTCCTTCCACTATCACTAAACATCAGGAGGTAGCTTGTTACCCAGTCGGAGCTCCCATATCCACCTTGGGTAGCAACAGCGGTAATTTCAGTTCTTTCAACAAGATCAATCTGAAGCCATTGATATTTGTTTGAGATGAGTGGAGTCCAGCCACCAGCACCTTCAATTGTAAATAAATAGGGAAACATAAAAAAAGAAAGATTGACTCAGGAAAGAATGATGAGAATTCCAGATCACAGTGCAACAAACTCCAATCAAGCTACAGCAGGCCTGGGCAAACTTTGGCCCTCTAGTTGTTTTGGACTTCAATTTCCACAATTCCTATACAGTCGATAGTTGAAGTTCAAAACACCTGGAGGGCCAAAGTTTGCTGAGGTCTGAGTTATAGTTAAGTCCAACAATCCTCTATTGAAATCATTTTATATTCAAATAAACTTTCTCACTCTATTGCAGATATATATAAGCACATATAGAAAAGAAGGTTCCCCTTGACTTAGTTTATTCCTATTTTCATAAAGAATTTGGAGATAAACTAGCAAATATTTTGTATTTGCTATTTATGCTCCCTTCATAGTGTTTCTTGAACAAACACAAACATACTTCATTGTTGAGAATGGTATATAGAATTCACGAGAGGGTCTGGATGCTCTTTCTCCTTCCACTTAGAGCTCTTCCACACATCAATATAACCCAGAATATCATGGCAGATAATCTACAATATCTGCTTTGACCTGGGTTTTCTGAGTCCACACTGCCATATAATCCAATTCAATGTGGATTTTATACAACTGTGTGGAAGGGGACAACACTCCGTGTTCAGAGAACATTGGGTACATCAAAGTGATGGAGTGCTAAAAAAATATATCAGCAAATGCTAAATAATTGTTTAGTCAATATATGCAGTCTAAACAATAAATAGCTTTCATAGAACAATCAATAACACATCCAAGTCAAATATTTGTATATGGCAAACCTGTAATTAATTTCCCAATTGTTTATTAGCCTTGGTCAATAACTTGCAAAGTGACATTAAACATAATGTATTTATTTACTATATTTTATTTATGCCACACTGAGTCATGCAAAAATGTCAGTTTAGTAATATTTCTGTTCATTTAAAATTATTTATTATTAATAATTGGTAGAGTTTATAGCTGAATCTCTAAACACAATTATTCACAGAAGTACACAGTAGGCAAAATGTAAACTATTTCCAAAAACTGAAAAGAAAATGTGTTTTTTTTAAGTTAAGTCTTTGCTAGGTCTCCTAACCAGTGCAGCATCCGTGAGCAACATAGAAAGGATCAGAAAGAGCATTCCAAAACCAAATGATGAAATAAAGGCAAAAATCAATAATGAATTTCAACCTCTTGGCACTTCACTGTAAATGACAATCCTTAAATTGTCATAATAAAGACTTTCCATTCCAAGACAGAAGGTATAAAATTAACTACCTCAGAGTTTCTCCAGAAAGAAAATTCTTATTTTAACGTCTGTCCTGATCGTGAGCCGATTCTTCTCAAGAGAATCTCTACAGGCAAACCATGGATTTGCATGCTAATCTAATTCGTCAAGCCACTGTGAATCAACTATTCAAAGTCACAGGGCTGCTTGTAATTTATCCCAAAAGACAGGAGATGGTGGTGACCCAAGCCTATCTATAGATAATTCAAAATCAATGTACAAGTATTTAAATTAAGGGTGTTTGCTCAGGCAGAAACAGAATGAGCCACAGCTTCAATATCAATCTCTTACATAAATAAAAGAAGCTTCTTAAATCTATAGCTTGGCACAGTTCATCTGAGAACTGAAGGAGAGTTAGTCACCTTATAAAAGATAAAAGTATCTGTGATTATGTCTATTTACAATTTAATAATTGAATAAGACAAAGTAAACAGGCTTGTGTACATGAAAGACAGGGGTTCTAACTGCACTCAACAATGGCAAACATATAAATGTCATATAAAAAGTAATATCTTCATTCACAAATTATTAGTGTGCAATTTGGTTTTCGGTGATCCCTCGATCTGTTTTTCAGGAGCCTTCCCAATTTGGGTGAATTCCATTTTTTGATTCAGCAACCAAAAGATCTGTTTTCACTCCGGGAAGATCCAGCCCATTGGCAGCGATGGGGAAGCTTCCAGTCATTTTTAAGTCTCAGACTTAAGAAACCACCTTTTCTGGGATTGTTTCTCGTAATATCTTTAAACTAGACCTGGGTTAAGGCATCAGACTTAAGAAGCCACTTTTTCTGGGATCCTTTCTTCTAATATCCTTCAAGTAGTCCTGGGTTAAGGCATCAGATTTAAGAAATCACTTTTGCAGGGATCCTTTCCTCTTGTGGTGGAGGCTCTTTCTTGTAGTGGAGGCTCCTTCTTTGGAGACTTTTAAACAGAGGCTGGATGGCCATCTGTGGGGGGTGCTTTGAATGCGGTTTTCCTGCTTCTTGGCCTAGATGGCCCACATGGTCTATTCCAATTCTTTTATTCTAGTCCTGAGTTAAGGCATCAGCCTTTTTTGGGGTGCTTCTCTACCATGCATTCCCATCCCGTGTCTTTTCTGTGGTTTTTTTTCCATGCCTTCTCTGCAGGTTCTTCAGTTGGCAGTAAGGTGTCTCCTGAAAACAGAATCTTTCCATCATTTCCCTGTGCTGCAGCCATGAAGTCCCACTAGCAACCATTGGAAATGGTCGTGTGTCATGTAATGGCATCAGTGGGACTCCATTTTGGCAGCACAGATAAACAAAGAGAAGATGGTCTCATGGCAGTATGGAATGAAATCCACAACATCAAGGTAATGCTAGATCTCTACTGCTCTTTTAGAATAGGATCAGCCTTTCTGTATTTCAGGAAGAAAATGCCTTATTGGATGACTTTTTTTTAACTAAACATATTAACATAAATGATTATAACAAACATTGAAACTACTCATATTCTTTTCCTTACATCCAGTCATATGTTTAAAATTGAAAAAAAAAACCATATTGAAACATGTTTCCTATCACTCAAAATAATGCCTTGGATGGCTATGCGGTCACCTTATTAGTGCTTCAGAAGATGATACTTAACAGAAAATGCTCATAGCTGCTGGAATTTATCTCTGACAGCACTCAGATAAGACATTGTTGCACCCTGGGGAAACTATGAAAGGTTCAAGCTGTTTCTGTAAACATATCTTTCTATATTCTACATACATAGATTCTTCATGATCAGGAAACAAATAAACAAACAAAATCATTGCCAAGAAACTTGAGAAGAAATGAATGCCTGCCAGAATAGAAGACTCAAAATGAGCAAAGGAAAAACTATCTCAAACCTCTGAACAATATCTGTGTCACTGTTTTGTTTTTCTTGTCATTTTCATTAGCCTCCATTGTGGCAGGATGCACAGTGGACAACTAATGTCAATTGCACTTTATGATGTAAAAGCCACAGGTCTGCGCTACCAAGGATCTGTGGATTTGACTCACCCTTTTGTTCTTTGACTTGTTCCCTCACAGACAGTGTGAGGGAACAAGAGCTAAAATCTAAAATCTAGCCCAAGAGCTAAAATCTAACACCTTGGACCTAGTAGACATAAATCTGATTTCACTGATACAATTAATTGATGTGTCCATAGAAGTAACAAGGAAGCCTATCTGGACATAGGAATCATGAGAAGAGAGAAAGTTTGATTCAACAGCAGCCTCTGAAAGGTGATATATGAAGGCAGGGAGATAAGAAATTATTTTTTCCCCACACAAACACATACAACATGGTTTAAATAATGCAAATGGAGATGCCAATTACATTAATAAACATATGGATGGTGGTTAGAATCCTACTATTAACATACCCAAGTGCAAGTCCTCCTTACATATGTATACATCTTTTTTGGCTATTATGGACGTTGGTATTCTCCTCTACCTTTATAATTACCAAACCTCCCACTGGATTGATATCTTAGCTAAGATAGTCCCCACCCCCCTCAACACCAGATCCATGATTACTTGACTTATGGAAAGCATGAGATGATGGAGAGTTTTCTTTAAATGTTCCAATAGCCAAAGGCAGATTTATTACAGAATATACTACTGGCTTTAGAGTAATATGTGCCATAATTAGACACTTCACTGAAACTGACCATCATCACAAGTCCCAGAATGGCTATTCAGGGTGAAGGGGGGGGGGACTAACATAACATCTGAACCTGGAGAGAGTGGCAATCAGGGTGCCATAACTCCTATGGAACTTATGTTTTGCTGGACAATCTAGGATCTTAACCTGTAATTTTATTTAACCAATATGTCTAGTTTGGCTGAAAAAATAGCCAAAGGGGATTTCCACCTCTCAGCCATAATATTTTGTCCATTTTATGTATGTATTTATTTTAAGAATCTAATTCACAAAGTAAGATGCATGGAGGGAGGGGGAGAAAGAAAAAAGCGAAAAAGGAGATAGACTGAATGCTAAGAGTAGTACCCAACATAAACATGTAACAATAACCAAAACATGAAACACTAGCTAAGTTTTAGCAATCCAAGCTGTAATGAACAAGAATATATATTATTCTATGATTACATATTAAATCATTGCATAAAGTACGTTTTATATCTTCAGTCTGAATTCCCCACCACCACCACCATATAAAGCTGTTTGAACCTTGTCTTGAAAATTTGGGCCAACTTTATCATATACATATTATGTTCCTTCAAGGCACCTGTCTACCTATTGTGAATTCATGCATTTTATAAGGTTATCTTAAGCAATGAATTCTCAGAAATGGTTTCACAAGTTGCTTCCTCTGAAAAATAACTTATGGCACCTGTTAGTCTCCCATCCAAGGCCTAAACAGGGCTGGTCCTTCTTAATTTCCAAGATCAGATGATATGTAGTGCTTTTAGGGTACACAGGCCACCAGATGGCCTTTAAAGTAAAAAGAAAACAAAATACACATCATTTCTAGAAGCATTTCTTTCAAATCACACCAGGAAACTTATTCATACACTAAGCATTACACAAGTCCTATAAGATTTACCATCACTCCCATGAAAGACACTATCTCTGTTTTTGTATGGTGTATTGCAAGCTCAACATAAATGTGTTGTAAACGCAGAATGATATGACACAAAACACAATCATTACATCAAGATATTTAACAACTGCATTCATCATTTCTCTT